ACAGTCCCGCCTACCTTGCAGGCACTGGGGGAGGGGGCGGGCCTGCCCCTCAGCAGGCCGCTGGACCTGTCCTGCTGGTGTGTTGCAGGTCCCCCTACCCTGCAGGCGCGTGGCGCAGCTCTGTCCAAAGTAGATTTCTTTAGAAAAGGCAAAGAGGATTTTAGGAGAATGCATAGAAGATAATAAAGTTTGTGATGTTTGATGCATGGAGTGTGGATGCTCTATCCTTCCTTTGAGACTATGAATCTTCCTAAGGAAGCGATTTATGGTACGTTTACTCTTGGTCTCTCTCCTAGGAGTAAACTCCCCCTAAAGAGGGAGTATTCCAGATTTATTTCCCAAAAGTTTCTGCTTTTAGTCAGATAAGGAAAGCTCTGAGAAGGTTTATTTCTGTATCTGTTGATTCTCAAATGTTTTCACCTTATAATCTCAATTTGGGATTCCAAGTGAGTCCCCACATCTTTTTAAGAATAATCTCAAAATAATTAGGAGAAGGCAGAGAAAGAGGAGATAAAGCCATGATTCACATGAATAATGAGGAAACCAGTAAGGTGCTGCAAATAATTCAAAGGAAAAATCAAAGCACACACATAAAGCACCAACATGAAGGCTGAAATAAGCTTGCTTTATACCCACCAAAATGAACCCACTATCCATGGGACAAAATTCAGTGTATCCACAATCTGCATTTTAATCACAAAATCTGCATTTTCATGGACAGTCATTATCTACATTATTATAAGTATAAGTTTGCTGCAACCAACAGAGTTGCAAAATATTTCAAAGAAGATGTGAGCTAGAGATAATCTAGGACAAGAATCTTCTCTTTTGTTCCACTTCAAACTTTCACATTTTTTCCTGTGGTATCATTGGCCCAGGACAGAAACAGCACCCAGAGGCAATGGGTGGCCAGGTTACACAACCACATCATGTTTACTTGTCCCTCTGTGAATGATTACTTTTGTAACTCTGGGAACAATTTTATTACTTTTGTAACTCCAGGGACACAATATCACTTTTTGTATTTATTAGTACTATCATAGGGTGGCTTATTGCTGTCTTAAAGATATGGTTCAATAGTAAAAGGAAACATTTTTTTCTACTCCTTTATATTTTGCTTTTGATTTCTCCAAAATTTTCCCACTAAGATCAGTTATTGGCCCTGTGCCTTTCTACTTCTTGTCCTGAACAATTGAGTCCTAAAGCCATTTGGTGGATCAGAGACAGGTATTCTGTGCTGGGAGTGAAAGAGGAGTTCAAGTGGCCCAGATGGAAATTTCAGAGATTCACTGAGGGAAGAGGGTGTCCATAGTGGCCCCTAGTGCCTGGTATCAAACAGGGTGAGGAGCATGCTCATGGGAGAATGCTGCCCATTGCAGGGAATGAGGGGAAGAGAGCATCCACACAGGAAAGGGGATTTATCAAGACAATAAATATGTTAAAGAAAACAGAAAGCAGGTGCTTCACTGTCAGAAAAGGGAGAAATAGAAATGCAAGAGGAGAAACCTAGACTGGATCTTTTTTTTTTCCTTTCTTTCTTTCTGTGGTGCTGGGGATTGAACCTAGGGCCTTGTGTGTGTGAGGCAAGCATTCTACCAACTGAGCTATATCCCCAGCCCCTTATAGTGTGGGATAGGAATTGGAGACTAGCTCACAGTTTGTAATATCTACAGATACATCAAGAAGTATTTACATAAATGTGTATGGTTATTAATAACTATATATATATATATATATATATATATATATATATATATACCTTAATCTGTTTGTTGAGAGTTTATTAGTGATAATGTCCCATGTTATGGTTTAGATCTGAGGTTTCCACCAAAAACTCATGGAACAACTTTTGCTTCTTATATTTGTATCTCTAATTTTTATTTTCAACAAATAATTTTCAGCATCCCTAACCAGGACCACAAACAAATAATGGCAAGGACTTCATCTATAATGCATTTTTCTTTCTGGCAGTGGGGAGATGAAATTAAAGAAATGGAAAAAATTGGAGAATCTATGTGTGATGATATTTAATGAATTGACTTTTGGAATAGATTGGAAGTCTGGTAGGGAGAGACTCTTATAGACTGCTTTTAGTAATTTCAAAGTTCTTACAGTCCTATTCATTCTATTTATTCTATTTATAACATTCTATATAACCATCTTATTCTGACTTTGAGGGTTTAACAGTGCCGTTTTTTTTAAAGCAAATTTCTTTGGGGTGAGGGGTGCCAGGGATTGAACTCAGGGACACTCAATCACTGATCCATATCCCAGCTCTATTTTGTATTTTATTTAGAGACAGAGTCTCACTGAGTTGCTTAGCACCTCACTTTTTGCTGAGTCTGGCTTTGAACTCTTAATTCTCCTGCCTCAGCCTCCCAAGCCTCTGGATTACGGGTATGTGTCACTGTGCCAGGCCAACGCAGACTTTTTAAGAGTCATTTTAGGTTCATAACAAAATAGAGTGCAAGGCATAGAGACTTTCCAGGTACTCTGACATGCATGGCCTCCTCACCTTCCACATCCCCCACCACAGTGACGCATTATGGTCATCTGTAGTCTGCATTAGTGCTCATCCTTGGCGTTGCATCTTCTGTGGGTTTTAAATGAATGTGTACTTACAGGTATTCACAATTACTGCATTGTTGGGGCTCAGAAAATGATACCCCCAAGTGAAGATCTCAGAAGCAAAGCTTCTCTTAACCTTCTCCTGCCCTCTTGGGGCATTCCTCTCCTGCTGGTTATAGAAACCAGAACCCTTTTTCCCCAAAGCCAGCCATAAAACTCTTCATAACCACTTCAACCACCAGCACTTCCCAGCCCCATAGGGGATTTCATTTTCTTCCTTCCAAACTCAGTTTAAATGGCACAGTTTCACAGAGAACCTCTGCTAAGCCCCCGTACAGAGTTTCCATTCTAGAGCCTGTTATTGTTCTTTTTGCTCCTCTCACAGTCTGTAATTATGTGTTGAATTGCTCAGTGTGTCTTCCCAATAGACAGCAACCTCCACAAGGGCAGGAACCCTGTTTCATTCAGTGCTATATGCCCAAAATCCTGCATGGGGCCTCATGCTTAGGAACACCATGAGCCCGTGGCATGTGCTTTCCTGTTGTCCTCCATGTCTTCTTCCTCTGATATCAGACCAGCCTTTATTCTGAGACCATAAAAAGAATATAGTAAATTCATGCTTTTTAGAATTATTGGAGAGAGGACTTCCCAAGTGAGAAACAGCATGAACAGAGGCACAGAGGAGCAAATTCTAGAATCTTCTAGAGACATGGAAAAGAGCATCATACTGAAGTTTAGGTCCTCGGGAAATAGTGGGCACTGGAATGGAAAGGCAAAGCTGCCACGTGGAGGATTGTACAAGCCGGGATGAGAAAGCCATATGGCTAGAAAATACCAGCGGGATGCATGTTTTGCAATGCCATTGTGAAAACTTCTCCAAATGTAATGTCTTCTCTTCATCACAGTCACTCATGGGAGTGGACAGGATGTCCAGTGCTCCCTCGGACATTTTCCCTGTGGGAACATCACAAAGTGCTTGCCTCAGTTTCTCCACTGCAACGGCGTGGACGACTGTGGGAACCAGGCCGACGAGGACGACTGTGGTGAGTGAAGCCCCCAGAGTCCTAGCAAGAAAGGGGGCTCAAAGGACTGACAGTGACATTGCTGAGACTGCTCTCGCCAGAAAAAGAAATAGAAAAGGAAACATTCCATTGAAATACAAAACACAGGTTACTGGAGGGATCTTACATTTATTTCCTTAGTTTTAAATATCCTTTCTTTTATGTATCATAGTGTCACGGTCAAAATTTCAGGAAAGCAATGTTTGTGCAGAGTGTTGTAACCATGAACACGCCTGGTTCATGTCTTAGAGTCGTCACGGTGTAGAAATTAAGACTGTTGCTCTGGAACCAGGCTGCCCAGAACCTGGGTCCCAGAAGAATCAATCACATAAATTCAGGAACAATTCTTAACCTCTCTGTGCGTCAGTTTTCTTGTTTGATAAAATAGATTGATGATTGTGCCACACTCTGATAATTTGGGGAGATTAAGTGTAAAGGATTAGAGAATGCCAGACACGTGGTAGATGCTTCGTAAGTGTTAGGTACTGTTCCTTTCTAACCGTTAGCAGTAGTGTCAGGGAGAAAAGTGACACCTCTTAATAAAGAAAAAGAAAATATGTAAATGCAAGTTGCCTATTACCAAGAATGACCTTACTTATGACTTTTTAATAAGGCCAGTAAGTAGGGCTTACAGACAAATAGAATACCTGAGAAAATAGCTCTTAGTTAGGATTTCGTTCACATACCCACAATATTAGAAACACAAATTTTAAAAAGAACTTGAATTTCTTGGAGGTGGCACACTAGAGGGAAAAAAATAAGCTTTTGGTCAATAATATAAAATAATAAGATTTCTATTCATGGAGAAATATGGTACTATCTTTGGAGGACAAAAACGTGCATAACAATGTCAATATTTGAAGTGCTACACAAATAATATTCCTTGAAGAATCCTTGCTATTAACACTCCCCACCCCCCCACCACACACACACACACACACACACACACACACACACACACACACAAGTGTAGCAGGCAGGCTTTTAGAGGCATACCTCATAGGAATTACATTTTGGTTAAAACAAAATAAGATGGAGACCAGGCTTGAAATTCCCCAACCACAGGCCACCTAAGCAAAATTTAACTCCTGTAAATAACACTTGTAACTAAGGCAAATTTAGTTATTTCTTGTAAATGCTTCTGATAAGCACAAAGGAAACATAAATTATCTCCCTAAATTGATATAAAGAACTCACTTTTAACCGATCCCCTGCCATATGGAATCCCCATTGTAGTACTCCGTAATTGTAAAGGCTTGACAACTTCATCTTTGTTTGATAAGCCACTCTATATGCCTCTGAGCTTCTCACCACTTGGGTCAAAGTCCCCCCATAGTAAATTATACTTTCTCTTATCATATGACGATAAACCTTGACTTGTTTTGCTATTGTTATTTGTAGAGTGTAGATGCATCCAGAACCTGGAGCATGATAGGCAAGTGCTCAACCATCGAGCTACACTCCTGATCCCAAACTTTTACATTTTTCTAACTTGATCTTATTGTATTTTCAGCACTCTCCTTTTGGTACACTGTCTCGAGGTGGTGGTGGTAACTCTATAGTAATTACCGTCTCTAAACTCGTGAGCTAAAGCTACAATTACCTTTGATTTGGAACGTTATAAAATTACTTTTAAAATAAAACAGCATATTGCTAAAATAACTGAAGAGTACATCTTAAAAAGAAACTAGGTTCAAACAGCATTTTGTACGCTGCCATCCACTTCCCTCTCAACCTGCTGGTGATTGAGACAATGTCCTAGACAGAACCACAGTGAGTTTTGCATCAATTGAAATGGCCACAGGTAGCTGGAAAAGGAGTTTGGTAGCTGCTCTAAATTCACCATCCAAAGTAAGTTCTCTATGGGAAAAAAAAAAAAGAAAAAGTTGAGGAACTCTGGCTTCAATGCTAAGTTTAAAGGAACCAAGTAACAAGAGTAGCCATCCCTACCTTAATAATCATTCAAGTCACAAAAGTTTCTCCAGAGTCCCCAATCAGGGAATCAGAGGGAGGGGATAGGGCATTTGGATTAAAAGAACAGGCTCAGGTGTTGGAGATCTGGACTTCACATTCTGGCTATGAAGGAAAATGAAAACGCCTCTTTTCTTTTCTGTAAGAAGAGAATATTAAGACTATCTGGGTTGCTAAGAGGACTCAATGAGATATTTTATTTAAGATGTTTACCAGGACACAGGTGTTATGGACTGAATGCTTATATCACCCCAAAATCAGTATGTTGAAATCCTATACCCTAATGTGTAGTGGCAGCCATCTGGAAATAGAAAGCAATTTTACTCTGCTCAAAACCTCAAAGATGGCCAGTTGGCATGTTGCTTCTGTCTGTGCCTGAGAAAGCTGAAACTTTTCAGGGACGGTGGCAGATTTCATCACCATCTTTAGAGTCCAGGTGATAAAAATTAGGAGTGGAGTTATTTTTGTTTGCCTCTCATTGATTCAATTTCCTGTGCCAGCTGTGTAGTTTGTGGGTTTTTTTTTTTAATTTTTTCATTTTATAGTATCTGGATGAATTGTGTTCCCAAGGCTGTTCATTTTAAGTCAGGCTTATTTAAATTCTGTTTAATGCTATTTATTTTTTATTAATGAGTATTTTTTATTTGTTCCAATTAGTTATACATGACAGCAGAATGCATTTTGATTCATTGTACACAAATGGAGCACAACTTTTCATTTTTCTGGTTGTACACAATGTAGAGTCACATCATTTACGCAATCATACATATACCTAGAGCAACGATATCCTTTTCATTCCACCATCTTTTCTACCTGAAGACCCCCCCTCCCATTTGCCCAATCCAAAGTTCCACCATTCTTCCCATATCCCCTCCCCCCATTATGGATCAGCTGTTTAATGTTATTTAAATTAAGTCAGAAAACTGGTTCTTGCAGAATATGTAAACGTCATGCATATTTGAATAAGCAGTATTAGATACACTTACAAACATGTAAAATACAATATTTTAACAAAAAAAAACAGTTAAAAATCACTTTCAGAATGATTTAGAACTAAACAGTATATTGTCAAATAAAATGTCTATTTTTAATGGAAAGAGAAACTTTCTTTAATCAGACCTCTTAAAGTAAATCAACTCCAAAAACTTCTCCCTTACTCTCTTAAACTATGTAAACCTTGTCACCAACAATGATTATTAAAATGGAAAAATAGGTCAAATAGGAATAGTGGAAACAAAATTTGAGGGACACACACACAAAAAACTTCTCCCTTACTCTCTTAAACTATGTAAACCTTGTCACCAACAATGATTATTAAAATGGAAAAATAGATCAAATAGGAATAGTGGAAACAAAATTTGAGGGACACACACACACAAAAAAAAAAAAACACCATCTGATTCCCCATATACTGAACTGTAGATGAACTACTTAGTTTGGAAAGAGCTGTTGCTTTTGAACTATTACAGGCGTATTAAACAAGTACAATTATTTAAGTTTAAAGTCCTGGTTTCCTCAGAAAAACCCATAAGTAATTTCTCCACAACTATAACTTTAATAAGCTTTAAAAATAAAATCTCAGTGTAAAAACCATTAAGACATTAAAACACTGAACACTTTTCCTGGACACAATGCAAACAAAAGCAATAGATTTTAATTTTTTCAGTTCATCTCATAGAAATCCTTTCTTTCTAAAATGTTTGGCAATATAGAATTTATATACATATATAGACATACTTGTGTCAAAATTGACTGTACTGTTTTTATAACTTTGATTCTTACAGATAAATTTCAACATACAAAAGTACAATGAGTTTTACTATTTAATACAAGTCCCATATAATTTCTGCATGTTTTTTGCTACAAGTCACTGACCCATCTTTATTCAGAACTTTCACAGATGCAACCAGAGTAGAGGCCAAAACAAATTTTTAAGTCATCAGAACTATGTTCAGTATGACTATAACAAACTGAAAAAATTGAGATCTTTCATTTTTTAGCTAGAACTCTCAGATACTTGGGAGAATATGTCTGGGAAAATACCTAGGGAACCTGATTACAAATATATGAGGGTTTTCATTTAGGAATTATCTATGTTCATTTCAAACTGAATGGTAACTCAGTAGGAAAAATGCAATATTAAATAGCATCAAATTCTGAGATGCAGGCTGGAGATATAGTTCTGTGGTAGAGCAGTTGCCCATAATCAGATGATATTGAATTAATTCACTACATATAGATTTTTATTTAAAAGGAGCCCTTTACATTTCCAGACTAGAACCTGCCAGACTTCCGTCCTCTGTGTTATAAACAGATGACTGAGCCAAGCTCCCCCTGGCAGTTGCAATAACACAACTTCATCCCGGAGACAGCTTGACTTACTCCATGTGGAGACCCAAGATCTGATTCCTCTTCTCTGTAGACTTGTTCTTTGAACATCCCGCACCTCCTCTGCACTCTAGCAGCCTCATCTGTAGGAAAAGGATGAAGATATTTTGGGTCTTCATTAGCATTTCTATAATCCATAGGGAAAATGGAAAACATATTCAAATACATTTTGGGGCAGTATCTACCAAAAATCCATGCCCCACCTGGAGTCTCAGAATGTGACCCTATTTGGAAGCAAGATCTTTGCAGATTTATTGAAGGCAAGGATTGAGATCATTCCCAGCTTAGTGTGGGCCCTAAAGCCAATGAGAGTATCCTTGCAGGAGACAGAAAATAACATAGAAACAGGACAGAGGGAAGGCAGCCATGTGAAAGCAGAGGCAAAAGTTAGAGTTATGCTGTTACCCCTGAGCAATGCCAGGAGCCACCAGAAGCTAAAAGAGGCAGGCAAAGATCCTCCTCTAGAGCTGAGAGAGAGTGTGACCCTGCCCATGCCTCAGTTTCAGACTTCAGGCTCCAGAACTATGAGGGAATAAATTTCTGTTGTCTTAAACCACCAAGTTTGGGGTGATTTCCTATAGTAGCCCAAGAAAACTGATATAGGTAGAACAAAAAGTAGAGAA